GGGAACCTGGCAGTGCCGCTGACTGGACACCCTCTGATTACCTGCAGTACCTGGCCTGTGCCACCAGGGGGTGGGAAGAGCAGCTGCTGCTGGAGTCTGGAAGAGCAGTGGAGCTACTCAGCAGGGGCCCTGCCCCACTCACCCCCACCCCCACAGCACAGCTTTCCCTCCCTGCCCCACTTACTCCAACCCCCACCCCCACCACACCTCCTACGCACTACGGGCAGCGTTAAAGTAGCCTCCCTGCCCCAAGTCTCCAGAGTCTGTTGCTCCCCCCAGCTGGGGAACACCCCAGTGACTCCATCCCTGCTCCCCAGCTGGGTGTCCCCTCTGCTGGGTCAGGACTCGCTGAGATCTCCTGGGATCTGGCTGGGTTTGGGGCTGGGAGCCGAGGTGCCGGGTAGGGCCCCTCACCTGCTACAATGATCTGCACAGGGTCGCTGGGCTCCGAGTAGGCAGCTGGTCCTGTTCTGTTGCTATAGCGACAGGTGTAGCTGCCACCGTGTTCCCGTCTGGCGCTGGTGATGGGAAATTCAGCCTCAGAGCCAGCAGGGTCTGTGTATGTCAGATAGTTCCCATCTCCAGCCTTGTAGAGGAGGAACCTCATGCCCAGGTGCTGATGCTGACACCGGATGGTGACGTTTCCCCCCATGGGGATCACCCCACTGGGGCTGATGGAGATGGAGGGTTTGGGGAGGGACCCCTCTGGATTCACAAACAAACAGGCAGTAAGTGGAGGTGACACAAACCATGTCCATCTGACTCAATCCTCTCCTCATCTGTCGCTCCAGCTTTTTACCCGCGCCCATCCCTAGGGTGCAGGCTCGGCCCTGAAGGTCACAGCCAGGGAGACACACAGCAGGGGGGGAAAAGGACATTTCCAGTCTCTGATTCCTTTCGTTCTCCAGGGTCAATTCAGCCCTGCCCCCACTGCAGTCATGGGTGACTGCGATTGAACCTGGTGGGCTGAGATCAGAATATGGCCCTTCCTCCACTGCACTCAGGGGTGAATTGGGATCTACCTGTGGGGTTCCTGGTCCAAATTCAGGTCCTTTGAGCAAGTGGCTCCCAGGACAGCCTCCCTTCCACCCTCCTCAAAAAAAGCACATTTGCAACCCCCCCCCCC